CGCCCGCCCTCTCCCCCAACATGCCGCCCTTCCCTCCCACCAACACCTGCTGCGTCTACTCCCCCGCCAACCTCGACGCCAAGGGCGAGCTCGACCTCAAGGCCATGAAATGTAGCGCCTACGCTTCCGTTATGTCGCTTGGAGATAACCCTACTGATCCCACTCACTGGCTCTACGGCATCGCCTTGAAGTACTCCTTCGGTGGGGCGTTGGATAATAACTATGTCACCACCAAGTGCAGTGCCTGCCAGAGTAGCGGTGGAATATGCGGCTTTGCGCCGCCGGGGAATGCCTTTCTCTGTGTTTGTAAAGGAGGCTATAACACTAGCTTGGACTGCTCCAATTACAACCAGAACCAGAACCAGAACTACGTTTGGGACGACTCTAACTCTTCTCGTCTCATCTTCACTCGTAAGTTTTTTTTTTTTTTTTTCTTTTTCAAATACTGTCAAAAAAATGTTGTCCCGTTTTGTTCGTGTTCTTCACTCTTTCGCCTTTCATATATTCCTACACGTACGTGAGGAAAATGACTCTTGCTTTTCCTAGATTCGTTCGAGTCAGGATGATATTTTTTTTACCCGCGTAACTGCATGCATGTCAAGTATTATAATTAATGATCGATATAAATAAGGGTTTAATTTATTCGGTAAATTTATTCAAAATTGAAAGATAGAAAGAAATATGCTTTATTAGTTCGGGCCGGGACAAAATTTATTTTGATTTTTTTTATTATTTTCTTTCTAAAAAAATTATGAAAAATTTTATTCAAAATTGATGTTTAAAATTATATAACCCGGCCGCTTGAAAAGTTACATGATTGAATCATTCTTAATAAGATTTTACGAGTGCTGTAAAACAATTTCCTTCTTAGAAAAACTCTTCACACACGCATATAATAAGAATTCATTTCAGAAACAAGAAAAACTTATACTTGTGTAGTTCAACTTATTTACGACAAATAATCAAAAAAAAAAATTCTATGTTCTTGAAATCATTCGTTAATTATAATTATGTGGTTTAGGGTTAAGATTAGGCTTTTTTACACTATCATATTCACATTTGAGTAAAAACTGAAAAGGGATATATTCTTTTGAGAATTGTGTTTCTTTTTTTTTAATCTTTTTTTTTAACCGAAAGTAGTGTAAATATAATAAACCACAGTGATGGTTAAATATGATTCTTGTATTAGGGAATCAGATACGAAAGAGCAACACGCTTTATAATAATATTATCTCTAGCGAAATAAATAAATAAATTATACAGTTATACTTGTACCTGTATTATTGATCTTGATTAATCTTCTGTTTTGTGCACGTTCAGCAGCTTGGTATGTTTGGAGTTCTATTTTGGCTGGTATCATTTTGAGCTTAGTGTGATCAGGATTCAGGGGAGCCATTCACTGGAGGATATCATCAACCTTTTTTAATTAGTAAAAGTTGCTTTAGAAAAGTGCATTTAAACAAATGGAATAAAGGTATTCTGTATCCATTCCTATGTTGTTTTCGTGGATTCTTTTTTTTTCTTCTCAGTTTAAATAGTTTATGATCAAAGAAGGGAGCACCAAACTGGTGAGAATAACCCTACCTTGCTAAATCATCCGTACGTATTTTCTGTGGATATTTCAGTGACTAGAATTCAATCACTCTGGAGTTAAATGTTTTAGAAAAAAGTTGTTGGTAATATATATTTTAAGATGTATTTTTTTTATTATCTTCTCTGACTTTATTTCATTTTACATTATTTGCAATTCTTTTTGGTTAATTTATCCAACTCAAAGCCGAAAAAGGATGGATAAAAAAATTGAGAATGTCACACTTACAGTTTGATTGGAGGGGTAAGAAACTAAGAATGTAAGGGAAGGCCAAGGCCCAAAGGGGTTCTTTATTAACTTTACCCTCCACTTTATTCCTTGTTTCTTCTTCCTTCTCATGTTATGTTGTTTCTTTCCTTTTTCTCTCTTTTTTAAACTGCCAAATAGAACAATGACTGCGAGTAATACCAATATTTTTTTTTCCCAAATTAACGAATATCCAAATAAAATGGTAAATTAAAGTAGGGGAAACAGAAATAGACAACATATATATGTGTAATACGCACACTTGAAAAGCATATACAGAGAAGTGTTGAAATACACACACCACACCAGCTCCTCATATTACATATGCAATCCCTGTTATTTCCCTTGAATCAGATTCTATCCAGGGACGGATGTACATACATGATAGTGGGGGCACTTGCCCCACTCCCATTTTACTCATACATATTTTTTTTATTTAAACAAATAATATATTTTAAAAATAAAAATTATATTCTAATAAATATATATATATATATATTTAAATTATCATATATATAAAATATAAATTCAGAAGAAATATTTATTTATTTAATATTTGTCAA